AAAGCAAGATGGGCACACAGACACAGACCAGCAGAGGAGAGTGACGGAGCAGACACACTCAGAAAGCTCCAAGTCAGCTGAAGCCAGATGCCCACCCCCAGCCCCAGACAAGGCCTTCCAGACAAAGCCCACCACCTACAGTCCCTCTCTGATCACACACATCTGCCCTGGAGAAGAGATGTGCAGAAGCCAGGCGTGGTAGCTCACGCCTGTAATCCTAACTACTCAGGAGACTGAGATCTGAGGATCAGGGTTCAAAGCTGATACCTTTTTGGTTGTTGGTCGAGGGGGCTTGAACTCAGGGCCTGGACCACATCCCTGAGCTTTTTCGCTCAAGGCTAATGCTCCACCACTTTGAGCTGTAGTTCCACTTCTGTTTTTCGGATGATTAACTGGAGATTAAGCTCTCACAGACTTTCCTGTCAAGGTAGGCTTTGAACTGCTATCCTCAGCTCTTAGCCCCCTGAGTGTGTGAGCCATTGGCACCTGGCTAAAGATGAGACTCTTATTTCCAATAAAGGACCAAAAAACCAGAAATAGAGCTGCAGATTAAGTGATAGAACACCAGCCTTGAGTGAAAAAGCAAACGGACAGTGCCTAGCTCCAGCCCTAAGACCTGCGGGTGCACAGACACATACACAGACACACAGACAGACAGACAGACAGACAGACAGACACACACACACACAGACCAGAGAGAGAGAGACAGACAGACAGACAGATAGACAGACAGACACACACACACACACAGACACATACACACAGACACACAGACACACACAGACACACAGACACACAGACACACACACACACACACACACACACACACACACACACACACACACGGCTTGCAGAACTTGACAACCAGGCAAACTCCGTGATACTCCATCACTTGGGTGACAGACTCCTCGAAGCAGGTCCTCAGAACATCTATGAGGTTTTACTGGACAGCACATAATTCACCTGTGGCAGGGAGGAGTAGTCAGACCACTTCGGCTGTATTACCAGACCTTCAACTGAGGAGCCTGTGACCTTGGGGAAGTTGCTTAACTTCCCTGTGACTCAGTTTTTTCATCTATAAACTGAGGTTATTACCAATATCTACCTCCTTGGTCAATTTTGAAGCTCAAATAAGATAATATAAGCCAAGTGTTTTATTATTTTATTTTTGCTGTTGGTAAGGTTGAACCAAAGTCCTTACAAGAACTAAGTATGGGGCTGGGAAGGTGGCTCAGTGGTAGAGCGCTTGCCTTGCAAGCCTGAGGCCCTGGGTTCGATTCCTCAGCACCATATAAGCAAGAAGAAAAAAGTCGGAAGTGGCGCTGTGGCTCAAGTGGTAGAGCGCCAGCCTTGAGCTGAAGAGCTGAGGGACAGTGCCCAGGCCCAGAGTTCAGGCCCCATGACCGGACCCCCTCCCCCCAAAAAAAAGAACTAAGTATGTACCCTACTACTAAGATACACCTGCAGCTCCAAAACTACTTGGTATATAGTAAGTTTTATCTAAGCATTAACCATTGATATCATAATGTCAAATATATTTAAATAGTAAAATTGATGTTAAGCTAAGCACAGTGACCAATGCTTATAATGTAAGCTACTTAGGAGGCTGAGAATTAGAGGGTTGCAGTTGGAGGTCAAGCCAGGCAAAAAGTTCACAGGACCCCATCTTAAGCAATAAAAGCTGGACATAAAGGTTCATTCCTGTCATCCTGGCTATTTGGAAAGCATAAATTGTAGGATCACATCCAGCATAGGCAAAAAGACCTTATTTGAAAAAATAACAAAAGCAAAAAGGGCTGGAGGGCATGGCTTAAGTGTTGAGCACCAGCTGAGCAAGCAGCACAGGCTTTGAATTAAAACCCAGTACCAGGTCATTTCCCCCCTCCCACAACATACACATAAAGCAAATATTATTTTTACCTGTCTGGGTTCAAACAATTTTTCCTTTAGAAAACTATGGTGATAGGAAATAGGAGTTAAACTTTAAAAAAAGATCACTTCTTAGTAAACATTTTTTAAAAAAGGAGTCCCTAATTTTCATCTGCTGGCTGGTAAACTTCTACTGTTTAGGAACCCTGCCTAGCTATAGAAGAGAAGGATTCAGCTCTGCCCAGCCCACTTTTGGCTAATTCTAAGGTCCAGATGTAGGGTTTTGTAGAGGCTGAGGGGTGGGGAAGGGCAGGGGAGAGAACGATTCCCAGGAAACTCAGGGTACAGAGTGCTGATTTGCAACTGCTCTGGTCCAACAAGATACGAGCTTCATGGGCGGGGGGGAGGGGAATGAGGGGGGAGAAGGATCAGCTTGAGATAAAGAACAAGTCGAAGCCCCAAAAGTCCTCAGCAGCCTGGTTAACTCTTCCTCCTCCAGGCCCTCTCTGAGCTGTAGTAGCGGGTCAGGATGGAGGAGAAGGGGCAGTTGGCTTGGGACAAGCTAGAAAAGCATCCTGGGTTCAGGATCCGGGTGGGAGGTTAAAACCTGCACCCTAGTCGTGTCTCTTGCTTCATCCTACCCCTGGTTCTACTTCCTGAGGCCCTGGGCCTGTACACTGCAAGCATTAGGAGCTAAGGACTGGTCTCACAGGGGCTGGAAGAGTATGAATGGCGAGTTAGAACTAGTGAATTGGTAGGTTGGATGGGTCTGAGCTGGATGGAGGCTCCTGGGCTGCCTGACTGAAGATCAGTTGCTGAACTCAGCTGTTGCTCAATATTACCATATAGTCACCAGCATGGTGGTGTGAGCGGCCCCCACATGCCACAAGCAAAGGTTTTAAGTTAGTAGCTCCCGACTATTAAATTGTGGCCCATATTTATAAAGTATCATATGGACCAAAAACTGGCAGTTGCCAGTTTTTTGTTTCTTTATGATGCTGGTTAAAGGGCAGAACTCTGGTTAATGAAATAGGGAAGGAGACAGGTAAGAATGTGATGTCACAAGTCCAGCCACACCAAGGGGCTGGGTAGCCTCAACCAGTCATTTCTGTTTCTTTGTTTTCGTTGTTACTGGGGCTTGACTTCAGGGCCTGCTGCTCATTCAGCTTGCTTGCTTGCTTAACTGGAGCTCTACTACTCAAGCTATGTCTCCAGACTTTCTTTCTTTTGTTTTGCAAGTTAAGTGGAGATAGAATTTCACAGGACTTTTCTGCTTAGGCTGGCTTTGAACTGGGATCCTCTGGATCTCAGCCTTCTGAGTTGCTAGAAATAGAGATGTGAACTATCACAGTTCAAAGTCAGACTGGACAGGAACATTAACCACCAGAAAAGTGGCGCTGTGGCTTAAGTGGTAGAGCACTAGCCTGGAGCTGAAGATCTGAGGGACGGTGCTCAGGCCCAGAGTTCCAGCCCTGACTAACCAAAAAAAAAAAAAAAAGTCTTCCAGATGTCCCCCAGGGAAAGTCCGGGTGGAAAGTCAGTGATTCTCATTCCTGGAAGCACCTGAGCCTCCCGTTGTGAGAAAAATGCACTGTGTAGACAATACCCTAAATAATTCTTGTATCTGCCTCTGGCTTCACCATCATGCTGGGAAATGGCATTTGGGAAAGTCCTTCATGTGACTCATGGGCATCCAGGATAGAAACCATGGATGATAATGCACAGAAAAGCTGGGTCAGGGTCCTTCAAGATGGTCCCTTCAGAAATGAACTGTACATGACAGTCCTCAACTGGGCAGGATTCCCAGATGTGCAGTAATATAGGCAACTGGCCTTAATGCTCTCTAGCTTTCTGAGACCTTAAACAAACTCTATAACTCTTCTACCTCATTGATTGATTAAGCATGGATAATGATATTTGCCTTTCTAACCTCTCCACGCTGTTATCAGGAGAAATGAGGTAATAAATGTGAAACTGCTCTGTAAATTGTCAACGTTATGCAAACACAATTGCTGCTCCCAGTGTGCTCCCAGGTACTGGGATTTGCCTCCATCTGTGGGTGCTCATAGCTGTAGTAACCTGCCTAGTGCAGATAGCCACATGGAAAGTGGGAGAGAGATTCTTTGAAAAAAATATTTTATTGTTATTTTAGAGGTGTTACACAGTGGGGTTACAATTATGTATGTCAGGTGATAAGTACATTTCCTGTTGTCCAGTGTCATCTGTTCCCTTGTTCTCTCTGGGGGAGACATGTTTTTCCCCCAGTCCTGGGGCTTGAATTCAGGGTGTGGGCACTTTCTTGGAGCTTCTTTTGCTCAAGGCTAGCACTATACTACCTGAGACACAACGCCACTTCTGGCTTTTTCTGTATTTGTAGTACTCAGGAATGGAACCCAGGGCTTCATGCATGCTAGGCAAGTACTCTACCACTAAGCCATATTCCTAGCCCCCTGGGGGAGACAGTCTTAAGAAGGCAACTTGCATTTTGTTTTGTGGCTGGTAGGGCACCATAGTTTCTCCCGCAACATGTACAAGGAGAACCACAGGAAATGAACTAAGAGTTTGGGGGACATGATGGGAAGGGGAAAGCCCCGAAAAGGAAGGAAACTAGAGACCCGTTCTGGGTTAAGGTCTTCCTTCACAGGAAGTCCAGGGAGTAATCAAGGCTACTAAATAGAAGTTTGAGAGTTATATAACAGGCCAGCACTGGTGGCTCATGCCTGTAACCCAAGCTACTCAGAAGGCTGAGACCTGAGGGTGGAAGTTTGAAGCCAGCCCAGGCAAGGAAAGTGAAACTAGACTCTTCTCTCCAAAGCTGTTATTGGAGCTGTGGCTCAAGTGGTAGCTGCTAGTCTTGAGCAAAAACGAGACCACGGCCTTTCTCCTCCCTCCCACCTCCATCACAGAGCCAAGTAACAGAAATAAGAGGCAGACTAATGAAAACATGCATAAGATCATTGGTTTGATTTAGGGGGGAAGACACAGGATAGGCTGTGTGCCATCCCTAGGAAGCTGTCTGATGGGTGCAGATAAGAGCAATGCCCAGAGGACAGAAACCCCTATCTGGGAGGTATGCATGACTCAGTGTTATTTATCTGGGGCCTAGACTGCCTGAAGTGGTAGGGATGGTTAGAATTCTGGCTGGGCATCAGAAGAGGGTTTGAGACCTGGCTTCAATTCTCCCCCAACCTGGTCGTGGGCAAGATGGCCCACCAGCTGAGTCTTAGGCTCTTCTTCTGTACAGAAGAGCCTTGGTCTTGCTCAGGATGGATTTCTTCCGCTGTCTGTGCATGCCTTGTAGAGGCACTGAAGCCCAGGAGACTGCTGCGGTGAGTAGCAGGGGAGTCTGTGCCTATGGAAGGTGGACCAAATGGGTCTTAGGTGAGAGGGTTAGAACAGAGGCACTCAGTGGGGGTGGGTGGGAAGCAGCTTCCTGTGGCCAGGGTGAAGGAAGAGATAAGTGCAAAGCATGGAGTCGGGTTACAGAAGTCCTCAGCCACCAGCCTGGAAATGCTCTGTAGGGTGCTAGGTGGGACTGTGCTCAGGGGTGTGATGTGATTAGGCTGCTTTTTAGCAAGATTAATGTGGCCTGGAGCTCGGAATGGATGAGATGGCCAGAAGCCAGAAACCAGAGAGGATGTTGGAAGGCTCTTGTTATATTTCTGGCTGTGGGGAGGAGGGCTGGGGGTTGGGAGTGATGAGGCTCAGGCCTAGAGCTGTGTCTACAGAATACTGCTGGGCCTTGGGGCCTGGCTGAGTGCAGGGGTGATCAGTTACTTTGACTAGTAACTTCTCCGTCCAGGCCAGCCAAGAGACAGAAGTGTACCTTCTTGCTGATGTACATAGCCCAGCATGTGAAAGTGGCCTGGCTGATAGCAGGCCAGCTTTTCCAGGACTCCAGGCGCAGATAAGGGTTGAGGAATAAGTGGGTGATGGCACTGGCTAGGGCCTGGACACAGGCCGTGCTCATCACTATCTTTTTTTTTTTTTTTGTCAGTCGTGGGGCTTGAACTCTGGGCCTGGGCACTGTCCCTCAGATCTTCAGCTCAAGGCGAGCGCTCTACCACTTGAGGCACAGTGCTACTTCTGCTTTTCTGGTGGTTAAATTGAGATGAGTCTCACAGACTTTCCTGCCTGGGCTGGCTTTGAACCATGATTCTCAGATCTCAGCCTCCTGAGTAACTAGGATTACAGGCGTGAGCCACCAGCACCAGGCTTCATCACGATTGCCTCATCCAATCTGCCAAATGGTGCCAGCCTTGGGCAGGTGTGGAGTACTCAGTGCAAGGAGCAAAACCCAGTCTTTTATCATCAGAGAGCTCTCAGCCTCTAGAGCTTGGCATAAGTCTATTTATTTGCAGGACAAATTAATGGCAAATCAGAACAGTCGTCCTTTAATCTATTCAAATTTGCATATGGCACATACGGCATGTTCTACATGGGCCAGAAAACTATTGTTCTAATTGTGTGTGTGTGTGTGTGTGTGTGTGTGTGTGCGCGCACGCGCTGGTTTTGAGGCTTGAATTTAAGGTCTGGGCACTGTCCCTGAGCTTTTTGTTCAAGGCTAGTGCTCTACCATTTTTAGCCACAGCACCATTTCCAGCTTTTTGGTGGTTAATTGGAGAAAAGAGTCTCATGGACCCAGTCTCCTTCTTGGGCTGGCTTTGGACTGTGATCCTCAGATCTTACCCTCCTGAATTAGCTAGGATTACCCATGAGCCAATGTTTTGTAGAGGCTGTAAGTATAATCTGTTATTTATTTATAAATTATTTTTTTGTCGGTCATGGGGCTTGAACTCTAGGCCTGGGCACTGTCCCTCAGCTCTTCAGCTCAAGGTGAGTGCTCTACCACTTGAGCGACAGCGGCCACTTCCTAAGTGTAATCTTTTGAGAAGGGGTTGCTTTGAAAAATAATTAAAAAAGGGAACTACCAGGCCCTCTTGCAACCTGGAAAAGGAGGTCATGCAGGTGGCTGGCTGGTCCTGAAGCTTTAACCTTATCAGGGAATTTGAGTCAGGATTTCTTGCGAATTACATGAGTATTTTATAGTATTTCACAGTAAGCAAGGGTGACAGAGTGGCATTAGTATATCCTCAGAAAGGTAGCTGAGGATTCCTCTCCCATAGACCATCAAGCAGGAGATGGAGATAGGCTGGGATATCCAGGCCACATCTAAGGCACTCCTCTAGTGGGTGATGGCAGCTTTTAGGCTCTGGGGGTTCCTGAGGGCTGTCTGAGAACTAGACCATCTTTCCCTTCATGCAGCTGTGCCTTTCCTAGGTCTGGCCAAGGGCTCCCATCATCTAGATGGGCTGGGGAAGAGTTGGACTGTGACCATCTTGAGTACACGACAGGGTTCAGCCCTGGCCCCTGGCCTATTTGGACAGGATGGGCTGTGGAGAACCCAGAGGACAGCAAGCTCCAGGGGTAGCATCAACTACTTTGAAGATAGACCCAAGCCTTAATCCTGATCATAACTTCCTGGTCAGATTCAGTCCTGCGAAGATTTAGTCTTCATTGAGCCTCAGTTTCCTTACCTGTTGAATAAGGATCATGGCTACAGCTTTATGTTTGCACACCTCCTACGTGTTGCCTTGTAAGACACTAAGCTGCCCCTCTCCCCAATTTCCTCTGGAGAAATGAAAAAGACAACACTTGGGAAGGGCTAAACCGTAACCCCAACTCCCCTGAGCCTAGTGGCCCCAGAGCAAAGGGAGGAGGCTAGGAGACACGGCCCAAGTGCCACCCTCCGGTAGAGCCTCAGAAGCGGTGACTCAGAAGATGACTGCCCGGGGCATCGCTCCAGATTTAGCTACGTAGGGTGGGGCGAAGCAGGGCCACGAGGTCCCAAGTGGGTTGGGACCCTCGGAGCTCACAGCAAGCGCAGGGACCGGGGTTCGAGGTCTGGAAGGCCTCCTGGTTCCAGCTTCCGTTCGCTTTCCACGCCCAGTGCCGCAAGCAGCCGCCGGGCGCCTCCCCATCGGCGGGAATCCTCGTGTGTGTGCGTGCGTGTGTGTGTGTGCGTGCGTGTGTGTGTGTGCGTGCCCGTGCGTGCCTGTGCGTGCCCTAGTTTCCGAGGACGGGAACAGCCGCCCGCCTTAAGCTGCTGCTGTGTCGCAGCAAATCCTCCGGGCTGGAGACGTCTGGTTCTTCCCGGGCCGACCTCGGTGCCTCCCCGCCTGTGCCCGGCCCACGCGGGATCGTGCGCCCGGGAGAGCGCCTCCCACCACGCGCGGGCTCCCTACGTGGGGGACGTGCAGAGTGATGCCCGGCCGGGGGTGCGGGGGATCTGAGACACCGCCCGCCCCCTTTCCGGCGCGCAGGGAGCGGCTCTCCGGTCCCCGCCCCGCCCCGGAGCGCGGCAGCCAATGGGCGCGCAGGAGGTGGGCCTGGCGGCGCGGCCACTCCCCCTGGGACGGGAGCGCGGGCCGCGGGAGCGCGCGGGCTGACGCCGCGCCCCAGGCCGAGGGGGAGGAGCCTGAGGGGGGAGGAGGAGGAGCCGCCGCGCCGCCCCGGGAGGACCACTGCTCTCACCCCGGCTGCGGAGGACCAGCCGGCCGCGCACGTCTGCCGCCCGGCGCCCCCCGACCGCCAGCATGATCGCCGCGCAGCTCCTGGCCTATTACTTCACCGAGCTGAAGGATGACCAAGTCAAAAAGGTGAGCCCCGCCCGGGCCACCCCCGCCCTCGCCCCCGCCCGCCGCAGCCGAGCCTCCCGCATCCGCTCGCCGCCGCCGCCGCTTCCATCCTCCCGCGCTCGGCCTCCCCCAGGCCAGCGGCTGGTTGGATGAGAGGCCTCGCCCTGGGGTTCCCCCCCACCCCCTCACGGTGTGCGTCTGCACGCGTGCGTGTGTCTGTGTGTGAGTTGAGGAGGGTCGTGGCGGCCCGAGGACCCTCCGACACCGCGTTGCTTGCTGCAATGCCCTTGAGACGGGACCGGGGATGCCAGAGGGGCCTCGGGGCCGCTCCTGGGGGCCGGCTGCGTGGGGACCGGCGGCGCGGCCCCCGGGGCCTGTTTAGAAGGGTCTGAGCGCCGTGGGCGGAGGGAGGCGTGATCACAGAGATGCTGCTGGGGAGGTGAGGGGGTGCTGGCTGGACAGGCACCCCATATTTGGGGTTCCCCCCGCCCCGCCCCAGAAGCTATCACCAGGGCTCTCCTGGCTGTTGCAGCTGCTGTTAATCTGAAGACCCGATGACCCGCCTGGCTTTCCGGAGCGGGGTGGGGGGGTGGAGGCCACCGGAAACTTTGCTCCTAGGCCTCAGGTCTCCAGCCCCACGTCTGAATGGAATTTTTTTTTTTTTATTCCTCTTAAGCTTCAGTTTCTAGCCAGCCCCAGGTTCAGAGCTCAAATAAGAGACCTTCATCCCTCGGGTAGGATGAAGGCCTTGACGTGGACGTGTGGCATGAGTGTTCTCAGCAGAACATCACCCTATCCTGGGGGTTGCCACCGGGGACTGCTGCTGTCTAGTGTTAAATACTATCCTCTGGCGGCTCTTGAAGGTGTCTGCCACCCTTCTGCCAGTTTGGTATTGCATTTTCCAGAAACTGCCTAAGCCCGTAGGGAAAGACACCTCTATTTTTATCAGTGCTAGGTATGGCACAAGCTCTTTTACCCACCTGGGTAACATTATTGCTAGGATTAGCTGGGACCGGCCGACAAAGTCAAACTGTCTCAGATGTTCAAAGTAGCCCTATATACAGGAGAGGCCGAAGGGACAGACCTTGGTTTTCTGCTTTACCGTCTACAGTAGGGCCTTGTCCAAAAGACTTCCTCACTTGGCACTTTAGGAAGTAGGCCTTCCTTGGGGCAGTGAATGACCTCATCAAGGTCACCCAGCCAGTTAGGGGTGGAGTCAGGGCGGGGTTCCTGCCTTCCTCCACCTAAGAACTTGATCAGGACTCCTAGAAGTCAGCTGGGGGGGTGGGGGGAATGCTGAGAGACTAGGCCCCTGCACCTTGATCATACATTTTGTGTACATACATTTGAAGTAGGATAGTTATGCGCTAGGCTTAGGAATATGCCATGAAGGTCGAGTTTTGAAACCCTAGGTGCAGTCACTTGTGTGGTGCATCCCTTCTGAGAGGAGCCTTGCAAGCAAAAGCATGCCTTTCAATGGTGGTGTGCATCATGGGTGCTTCTCCCACTGGGAAGGGGAGACAGGCCCCCTTACATGTTCAGTGTGTGTTAAGAAGTCTCTAGAAGCCAAACATTTCCTGTCCTCCTGCAGCATTTTGGGTCCTTTATTGCCCAGGACAGCAGGTCCCTGGATTGGGGCCAGAAGGACTTTTTGTCTGAATTCTGGGCCTGGGCGCTGTCCCTCAGCTCTC